GGGGGGCGGTTGGGCTGGGGGAGCTTAAAGGGCTTTGCCAACCCAAATGGTTCTGTGGTTCCATGAAAAGCCTGGGATGCAGAAGGGGAGAAGGTGGAAAAGCAGCGCTGATCCACGTGCAGCTGTGGAAAACCAGAGTTGCCAGCCAGCCAGACACGTGTTGTGATGAGAGGTTGGTTTTGTGGCTAAAACTGCTCCAGGCAGCGTGTGTGGAGCCCGGCCCGCAGCCCTGCCCTCCCGGGGAGGTTTCTAAGCAAACGAAGGCTGTTGGTGCCCGGAGGCTGAGGCGCAGCCTGGCTGCAGGGGGGCTGCAGTTCATCCCTCAGCTCCATCCCTCCCACCAGCACCCCTCCTTCTCTTTGGCCGTCTGCAGCTCGCCCCTGTTCTCCGTGGGCGCCCAGCGGCGCCGAGGTGAGCTGTAAGGAGAGCCCGAAGCCGCTGCAGTGCTCGGGGTGGCTCCTGCACACTCCAACAGCCGCGCGGAGCCCCCGCAGCCCCCGCAGCCTGTGCCGTGTTCCTGCGCCATGCGGGCCGGTGGTGCTGGTCGTACCGCGCCCGAGGGCAGACCACCGGGAGTGCTGGGTCTGCCCGAGCGGTGGGGGAGAGGAGTGCAGGGCGAGCGTCCACCCTGCGCCGATCCAAGCTGGGGCCAGGCACGGCTGAGGAGCTCACCGAGATCCACCTCGACCCTGAGTTCTGCCCGCGGGCGTTGTCTTCTGCTAACCGTGGCACCTTCGGCGTTGCGGAGCACCACGGTGCCATCGTCGGTGGCGGTCGGGCTGCTTCTGCAGGACACGTGTTCTAATCGCCAGCCAACCTACGCCCGTCTTCCATGGAGGACGTGTGTTCTTTCTAGAAGGTGTGGCTTGTGGTTTGGAGGTCAGGATGTCTGCGTGCCTGGTGCTGTACGAACACGTGGCTGCTTTACGTTGACTTCTGCAGGATAAATTGGCCGAGGAGCGTTGGGTGCAACCAAACCGGGCTGCAAGTGGCTCCGGGGCGTAGCCACGTGCCCCAGCAACGTGACCCGATCCACGGCGTCGCCTGCTGTGGTTTGAAGCGACTCATGCCCTCAGCGGGTGCTATTTTTAAGAAGCTGACTTCTTATCCCGTGGCTTGGGAAAAATCCTGGAACAGCTTGGCGCTTGGAGCCCGGGTGGGTGTCAGGAGCCTCCTGCACCTCCTGTGGTGGGACCAAGGGCTCGGGGGCTCCTCGCTCAGCGTGCGCGTCGGGGGCAGAGGGTGGCGGAGCTGAGCCTTGGCTGGATCAGGTATAACCCCGAGTGAAGAGGCTTGCGTGTGTTCATGTTTGTGTCCTGCCATCGTTTCCCCACGCCCGTTTAGCGGCGGCCTAATTGACTCTGGAATGGGCTGCGGCTCCTTGGCACAGAAGACGGCATGACCGGGGAGCAGAGCAGGGCCTGTGCCGGCCGGTGATGGCGATGGCGATGTCCTCCTGGGGGTCCCTTCTAGAGGAGCAGTCCAGGGGACCCCAACTTCCATTCCTCAGGCCTCTGGATGAGCACACTTGACCCCTGACGTCTGGCTTGTCTCCGCAGGGAAGGTTTGACCCCGTGCTCGCGGAGTGCATCCCTTTGCACCGGGATGCGGCAGCCGGGTAGCGCTGGGTGGGACCCAGCAGCAAACTCCTCGAGCGCAGCAGCTTCGTGTGCTTTGCTCTCATCATTTCTGCCACGGCCGGGGAACGTTTGCGCAGAGCGGGGAGCTGCGGGTTCGCTGTGGAGCCCAGCGAGGAGGGGAGGCTGCGTGCTTGCCCTGATGGCTGCTGAGGCGGACCTTG